TGACGGATCCAAAGTACGGTAGAGTACGGTAATGTACGGCAAATTTACGGTAGGGTACGGTAGAGTACGGTACGTACAGTGATTTACCGTAATACAGTATGACACCGTAAATTACGGAGATTGTACGGCAAAGTACCGTGATAGTACAGTAATTTACCGTTATTGTACGGTAAGATACCGTGATTGTACGGTAAAATACCGTAATTGTTAGTAAAATACTCTAATTATCCGGTAAATAAAGTACTGTTTTTGTACGCTAAGCCTATGTAGCTTATACAAGATCAATCAACAATAATTGGGTAAAAATTGATGACTTGGTTTCAAAACCTAACCCTTGTAATTCTAAATCAACTAATATTAAAATTTCATTATTATTTTATGTTTTAAGGGGTTATATTCAATTAAAATTTTTTTTTTGCATATTTTGAATATATATATATTGTCTGTAAATTTCAAAGTAATCCGGTAAATAGTTTCGGAGTAATGACTTGAAATTTTAACAGGATCTTCTTAGATACTTTTGTCAGATAATGATCGAAGGAATGAAGTTTCTGATAAAAATTTCGATTTTTTAAGTCACTTTAAAGTGTAAATTTTCGTGCAAAAAAAGATTTTTTTTGTTGGAAAGCCGCCATTTTGTCTAAAATCAAAATTTTGACTATTTCTTCGATCATTACCTGTATTTATCTATCCTAAAAGTAATCCTTTTGGTTTTTTTTATTTCTGATAATTTGGATTAGAGATATCTTCCTCACCGCCAGACACCTTTTTGTGGAGGACCTTCAGGAGATCTTCTACAGGAACGACGGAACCCAATATTTTTATTAATAAAATATGAATTCTTAGAATACGTTAAATTCGCTAAATGCTCATATATTTTATGTAGCGATGCGAAATGATGGTCATTTTAAACTTTGGTCAAATCACGAGCATTTGACGAGCAAATGCTCGTCAATTGACGTCATTTTTTTTTGGTCAATCACAAAAATTCATGAGCATTTTTTTTTCTTTTTACTAAAATTTCTCTCAAAAAAAAAATCAAACCAATCTATTTCATATGCAACCTCAATATTTTAAATATTTAAAACGAAATTTATCTAAAAATTCTGACGGTAGTAAACAAATTTGTCTTGCTGAACTACCTAGATGGAAAATGACCGTCAAAAATTTTTCGGTCATTTTTTGGTCAATTTTTTAGACTTGAGAATCCGGTGAAATTTGTTTGCTGAAATTGATTCTACAGATTATTTATTTGAAACAATCACTATATCTATTAATACGAACACAAAATTTATCTAAAAATTCTGACGGTAGTAAACAAATCTGGCTTGCTCAACTACTTAGATAGAAAATGACCGTCAAAAATTTTTCGGTCATTTTTTGGTCAAGTTTACAATTTCGTCACAATTGTCATTTGCAGGTTTAAAGGTGCCATATAATTATTTATAGTATAAATTAATTAAAAACGATTTTACGCACAAAATAACTATCATTCCCAATAGAAAAAAGGATGAGCAATTTTTTGGCACTTATTACAATTAACATTAGTCCTCACAATTAGAGATAATCGGGAATTAAATTTTGATTTTTTAATTACGATTAATTAATTAATTATTAATTATAGCAGCGGAGCAATTGTTCATATCGGAAGAGCAATTCATGAGCAATTTTTTGGGATTTAGTTTTTGAAAAAAAATTAATATTCGGCGCCAAATTGGTTACGGTCCGTATTCACCCTGAACCTTACCTTTTCAGGCTTGGAACAGAACCATGGGGAAACCACAGAGAAAACCCATGATAGTACAGTCGGAGCTGGGCTAAGTCTACAGTGATTGATAAAGAACTCTTCTTTATCGACCACTGGAGCATTAGGTCCTACTCCTAGTGTACAGAGATCCCTCGGGCTAGCCAACGCTGACTAGAGTGGTCACTCAGTTAAGTTGTAGCTTAACTGAGCGATCGCCCATTAAGACGTGTGCCGCCCGGTTATCTCTGCCACTTGCAGAGGCAGGCAATGTAACATGTAACGCACATATTTTTTAGTTATAATAACTGAAAAATAGTGGTGCGTGCTGGGATCGAACCCGGGTCCCACTCTTTCGAAAAGCGAGCACCGAGCCGACCGAGCCATTGCCGGCTATTATTTTTTTATATTTAAATAATTATATTCATATTAATCTTATTAGTAATTATATAAATTATATTAAGATTAATAATTATATAAATTATATTAATATTATCTTCAATTAATTATTTTTTTATTATTCATGAAGGAATTAATATGGAAAAATTTATATTTGCAAATCTTTAGTCATATATTGCAATAATTAACTAAGATTTGAGTTCATGAGTATATTGAAGCCACACTCAAAATTTTTTTTCTTTTTCTTGTGTATTTTAATATCAGATTTTTTTAAATATTTCAGTTCCCAACAATCACCACAGGGATCACAAAATATTATTATTGAAACTGGACGCTACCCTGATCAGTTAAACACAAGGCATACTATCAATATTGTGTAAGACTTTATTAATCGAATAGTACCAGACTATTTTAATTTTTATCTTAGATTTTATTAACATATTTATATTTTTTTTCAGAGTAAACAATAGTAAAAGAGAACGTCAAAAACAATACAGGGAGCGGAACAGAGACAAATTGAAACATCGTGAAGCGGAAAGAAGAAAGCGTATACAATCATCACAAAGCATTATCGGACCGTCTACCTCTTCAAACTCAAATATAATGGAAGTAAATAATGAAGAACCAGTAACTGCTATTTCATCTACTCTTCAAAATAAAAGAGACCGTCAAAAAAGATACAGGGAAAAGAACAGAGAAAAATTAAGTCAGCGTGAAGCGGAAAGAAGGAGACGTCTACAGAATGCAGAAAGTATTATAGAATTACATACTTCTCCAAATATAGAAAATAGAGAAATAATTATAGAACCAATAATTATAATAGATGAAGTAACTACAAATTCTCGAAATTCAACTGGTTTGGGAGAAATGGAGCATGAAGTGTTTGACATATCTCAGAAAAATTTAAGTAACCTATCAAGCGCAAATATTGCGGAAATTCCGAATAACTACAGTCAATTTGGATACCATAAAACAGCTCATGAATATTTCATCTATACAATATAACAATAATGAATTTGGACATGCTTGTGAAGTGAATTAATTATGATTGTAGTATACATTTCACCTAATAACAAAATGGATCATATAATTTCATTTTCACATGAAAGGTTATTTCCTTATAGTCAAAGAGGTTCAATAATTTTTAAAACGAATAAACATAAATTACCATTAATTTTAGCTGGAGATTTTAATGTAAATTTTGCAAGAGCTGAATCAATGCCATTAATTACATTTCTTCAAAAAGAATTTCAATTGCAAATCAACAACAATCCAAGAGAATCTACTACCAAATATGGAACAACAATAGATGCTGTATTTGTGAGATATCTTAATAATGTTTCATCCAATACTTTTGTAACGTACTTTAGTTATCATCGACCAATCGTCACAGTAATACCGGCAGAGGAAACATCAGATATAACTATTACTGAAGTCACAGATGAAAATATTTAAATTGTGGCCACTTGATATTAATATCGAATTTTTATATCACATGTAAATAAATGTTTATTAAATAAAGTTACCATTTTCTGTAAGAAATTCGTAATACTTCATTTTTTCATTAGGCTATATTTAATTCCTGTGATAATATTATCTTTTATGCATATTACTTGTACACACATGATGTTTCACATCTGCCAGGCGTCCCATGACGGCTCAATTTTTTTTTATTGATTACTCATACTCATCATAAATGATTGATAATTATAATAATAATAATAATTATAATAATTTTTGAGATCTTAGTTGGCGATAGGTAAGTCTAGATCAGAGATGAGATGAAAATAAAATATTCAATTTATCATTATTGTTTTACGACCGGAAGGGACCTTGGTTGTCTGAGGTAGACTACCTAGCATTTTCTTTGAAAAAGGAGATTTCAAATCTTTGACGGAAGTTTCCTAGGTAAGAATGAATGGACGTTGACGCGACAGGTGCACATGGGTCATTATATTCTAGTATACTAGACTGTAATATTTATAAACACAATACATGTTCCGTGTTTTCAATTTAATATTATTTATTTATTTAATTAAATTTCAAAGATATGTACAAAAAAAATAATAATTTTTTGATTTTTTTTTTTAAATAAAAAAATCACTTAAAAAGATAATCTGTGCGGCTGACAACATCAATGAGAATTAATAGAGATTTACGGAAGTATCCTTCTGTGTGGTGCTATAAACAAAAGTTAAAATAAAAATTATAGAATCATAAAAATGATTCATTTATTAAATATAATAAAATGTTTTTAAAATTTTAATCAATATTTTTTTTAGAAGAAAAGGATATTTATTAACAGTCAATAAATTTTGTTTGAATAAATGTGTTTTGTTTACGGTGGGATTAAATTGAAGACCATTTATAAAATACTACTGCCATATTTTCTTACTATAAAGACTTGATACATTAATAATTCTCACAGTAAAAAAAATTTTATTATTTTGTTATTTATTTAATGATCACTATTTTTTTAAAGAAAACTATCTGTCTACTCAATCCAATAGAATTGTATTATCTTTTTGCATTCTATTATCTTTTGAAGTTATGGGTTTATAAAATGTATCAAAGTAGAATTTTAAAACTCACTTTTTATTTAAGGGTAAACAAATGTTAGTGAAAAGTTAATAAATTGCGTTTAATAAAAGATTTGTTAAAGATTTAAATTAATGCTTAATTTAACTATTAATATTAAATATTTATTGAATCATCTAATCTTGAAAAATCGTTTATTGACTGTTAATAAAGCTTATTAAATCTTTCTATTAGCGTGATTAATTATTCAGAGTAATCAAAATAATTATAAAATATTAAGTGCTATTAAATAAAAATAAGGTAAAGTTGAAGAACTTACATGCACTTGGGTTCGAAATGAGACGTGGTAAAGCTCTTTGTAGCGTTCAATAATGTGATGAAGTGTATGTTCATTCACAGTTATCACCATCAGTCTAGTGATACTTTGGTGATCTTTTTGTTGTAAAGATTCATGTAATCGTTTTGCATAATAGTCATATACACCTTCAGTACATAGTGCTATAATTAAAAAAATAATATATAATTTTTAATCGAAGAAATTAACAAAAATTTTTAACTAGATTTTTAATAAAAGAATTAGTTAGAATTCATCAGTAAAAGAATTCGTTTTTCTTTTATTTCATTTTCATTGAAGAATAAGTAAATAATGCATAATTTATCAAATAAAAAAAAATCATTTTAAATCAATTTTTCATTTCTTTTTTGAATCCTGATGTCCAACAAGAGTATATTTTTGTTGGAAGATAGAATAAAAGAACATTGTCGGAAATTTACTATTTTATTTAATTATATTGGGTTAATGTTTCTAAGTGGCATTTCTTTGCTATCTACTTTAGCTAGTAAAATTTAAAGACCAAATTGCCTTTTTAAAAATTTAGAGTATTTACGGAAGAAAGAAAAAGTGGAAAAATTATATCATATGATGTAACGTGGCGCTTCATATAAAAAAACTTGAAAAATTACTGTTTCAGGTGGTAATTTTTATAGATTTTGAAAGAATTAGATTGTGAAATGTAAAAAATTTTTCGATCATAAAGCATTCTTTGGTGCTACGCATCATGAGTCGTGGAATATTACATTTAAAGCTGTGAAAATTAGCATTCAAAGTTGGAATTTTAAAAATGTTATTTTGAACTGCAATTTTTCTAGTTTTAAATTTAAAGCGATACTTATTACCATTTATAATGTAATTTTTAAATTTTTCTTTTTTCCGTGTTGAATCAAAATCAGGTTTTGAAAAATTTATAACTTGACAGATTTATAACTACTAGAAAAAACATTTTTTTTCTGTTTTTCTTTGAGTAGAAAATTCATAGTATATTCATGCAGACAAAAAAAATCAAAATTTGCTCATAGAACAGGCATAAGAACGGAACAATAATTTTTTTTATTATTTTAAATTTAACTTTTAAGGTCTGAATATTTATTTTTACAAGTATTAACTATCTAATTTACAAATTTTCTGTTACGTCCAAACAACTTATCTTCCTAAAAATGTGAAAACTTATCTTTTTATAAAATATTTTTGTACTTACATAAAGGATCACGAGGATAAATTGACGGAGATTGTTTTCCACTGCCAAAACCAAACGACAAAAACGCATCTGTCCTCAGTACTCCTACAGTAAAATCGATTAGTGTAGCTTGAAAGTCTCCTGGAGGTATATTTAGAAGATCTTCGGGTAATTCCTTTCCATAATCTGGATAATTAAAATAGATAATCAAAAATCGTTGATTTTTAATAGAAATATAAATCTTGCAAAATTTAAAGTAACTTACTCAAAGGATATGAATTTTTTATTTTATCGATCTCCATGTAGTTCCGACGACAGAAAATATCTAGAAAAATATTCTTATTCGATTCTGAATATTGATGAATAGCATTGTGAATTTCCTCAATTAAAAACTCCAATTCTGGCGTTGAAAGCGCTGCCATTAGATTTCCAAAGCTTCTGAATAATTTTGATCTAACATCAAGCTTCAATTGCGTTCGGAATTGGCTGTAATATGCATCAGCAATATATGTACGGTGGAATAAATTTTTAACTATCAATATGTCTATGATTTCGTAGTGATCGTCATCTTGAAGTGCACCATGAAGAGACATAGCGGCATTTATCCAAGTATCGTTATTTTTCGAGAGGCTTTTTGGAATTTCGTCTAATTCGCTTTTTCGGTATAATACATATGCATGTTCGTCAACATCATACGATAAAACAGGCGTAATATCAGTAATAAATATTAATAAAATACTGATTAAAATCTGAAATTGTAATAAGTAATTATAATAATTAATATCATTAAAATTTAAATTTGAGTTCCAAAATGACAACAAAAAATATTGAATGAATGATTTGGGTACAATAGAAACTATAAGTCTTACCATAGGTACTAGTTGATCCATGTTTACTGAATGAAATTTCCAGTCAATGTAACTCGGATTCACAAAACTTGAATAGTAGGACGTCAGAGTCGTGAATGAACGTTCTAACGTTCATTTTACTCTAGTAAAATTCAAGGTTACAAACTTACCTTGCCCCACTCCAAGTGTATTTTTAAAGAACCCAGGAGGGGCAACTAACCGTCGAACAAGGAAACTTTTTAAGTCTTCGACCCTTATTGTGAAGTTAATGGTCAGTGTAATTTAAATAATTCTGACAGTAAAAAGTTGAATTTCCTTTATTCGCAATATTTATTTTTTTGAAAATACGACAGTTTTGTATCGTTTCGTTTTAAAAATTCCTTTATTTAATCAAATATTGATGTATAGTTGCGCCGTACATCATATAATATTCTTTGTTTTTATCTTAGAGTAATATCAACAAACGTTTATTTTATCATTTTTATCTTAAGATTTACAGTATGTCATGTTTTATAAATGAAAAGAAAAACGTTATAAAATGTTCCGTATTTTGAAACGTTGTACGGGTTCGATTGATAATCATCACTATTTTTGTGGTCAAAACTTTTTAAAATGCATGAAGTATTGACTTGCCATGGTGACAAACCCAGTACTTTGTAGATTATAATGTGGCAATAGAGTAAAATTTTTCGGCAACTCAGTGGCAAGTTTTTATTTGATAAAATATTCTGAGGATTAAAGAATTTTTGATTCATGTTTTTCGATTTAGCGAAAATACTGTCTTATAATAGAACGTAAGCAAAACTACGTTGTGTTTCAATTTATTAAAGAGCAATCGATTTTTATGTACTTGCAATTACTTATGTTGATTATAGTTAATTTTTTAATTTAGTAATGCTTTCATTTGTTTGATAAATTAGAAACGCTGATAAATATTCATTATGCAATCATTCAATAATTGCTTTCAAAAATATTTATTAACATTTATATCATCTTCGAAGTGTAAATACATATGATTCGTAAAATATTTTTGTTATATCTTTAAGAATTCTATATATGAATATTTTATGTTATTTTGACAAAAAATTTTTAACAGAAAACGACTACGGTTTTTTACGGCGCCACTAGGCTCCGTCCCGCAGAGCCCGTTTTTTTTCGAATTAAAAAAAAGTAGTGTTTTCCGGATTTTTCAATATTTTATAGCAAAAGTTGTACTGCTGTCTTTTTTAACTTCCCGCTAAGACAATCGAAGATTTTCAAAAATCGGGAAGTTATTGGTTTTACCCCGTTTTTCGAAAATCGAGTTTTCATCAGATCTTGACGTTTTGAGGTCCTAGGAAGCTTCCCTGAACGTTTTCGCGATGATGTCCGTGTGTCTGTATGTATGTATGTATGTATGTATGTGTATGTGTGTGTGTGTGTGTGTATATGTATGTATGTATGTATGTAACCCTTTTATACTTTTTGAACGGCTCGACCGATTTCATCGCGGTTGGCGCCATTTGAAAAGGTTTAACCAACTTAGATTTTGAATACACTTTGGACCGATTTGGACCAGTAGATTTTGAGGAATCTTAAAAAAAACTACAAAAAAAATTTTTTGAAATGTGGTTTTTTTGGAATTACTTTTAAATGGCTTCACCGATCAATTCCAAAATCTAGTCAGCTCTTAAGATCAAAAAACCACGTTGATCACTGCAAGCCCGGTCAAAATCGGTTGATTCGTTAGTGAGTTATCGTTATCGAAAGAAAACCGAAAAAAGTGTTTTTTCGGAATCACTTCGAAATTCCTGACTCGATCGATTTAAACTTGAAGATTCTTCATGGGGCTTTAAAAACTGCGTCGAATGCCGCCAACCGCGTAAAAATCGGTTCACTCATTCAAAAGTTATTGCCGTTTGAAAATTCAAAAAATTGTGTTTTATTAAACTGCTATTAGAGTTTTGAGCTCGAAGAGCTCAAAATGACACAAAAATTATATTTGTGAGCTCGAAGAGCTCAAAAACGTAATGTGTAATTTTAGCGTTCAAATACAAAATGAGCGGGAAGTTGCAGGAGTGACATGATCGACAAGCTGCTATTCATGTGTGGTTTTTTGGTATGCGCAGAGGCGCTAGAATTAGTCTCAGTATGCTTGATAGTTTGATTTGTAGTGGTAGTGACGGAAATATACATTCTATGAATCTTATACATTTATTGTAGTTAATTTTCATTCCCGCAAGGTCAAGCATTTGGAAAGTTTATTTGACTCCGCCTACTTTCCCGCACGCTACTATAGTGTATGCAACCATCACGAGAATACGCAACTTTGCGTTTGTTGAGCAAGGCTCGAATGTTGAACTTTGGAAGCAGGAGTTACAAAAAATTTATTCTTACTTTTCGTTTTATTTTGTCGAAATCTATACAAATCAGCGTCGCCAAGCTCGCAGCGGCAAGACCCATCTTGGACGGATATTATTATTGATTTTTCGGAATCTAAACAAGCAACAATATTCTAAATGGAGCAACTAATTAGCAACAAATTTAGCACCACAAATAAATTTTGTTGCTAGAATAATAAGTCAATGCATGATGGACGAGTCTATGTTAGCTTGATAGACCTATACAAATCCGCCTTCAAATCATAGCGCTGTCAGAACCGTAGAATCCTTTAAATTTACAATTTTTAACTTATACGGATTAAGCAATTTACTAGGAAAATCATGTTATCTTTTCGCACTTTACTCATTGGTCGATTGAAGAATTTGTCGGTGAAATCATAATTGCTAAACCGCGAAAAAATCGGTTGATTCATTCAAAAGTTATTACAGTTTGAAAATTCAAAAAACAGTGTTTTATGAAGCTGCCATATCAGACTTTTGAGCTCGAAGAGCTCAAAAACAAAATCAGTGGACTTTTAAACGTTTAGGTATATGGACTTAGCGGGAAGTTGCAGGGATGGCCTTAAGGGTCAACCGTCTTCGTAATTTTTTTTTTTAATTTCTTCGGAATGTCTCTATGGATCAACTTTCAAATCTAATCAGATGTAAGTTTTGATAAACCTTTTCGAATGAAGTCTCGTAGAATTCAATCGGTTCATTTGTTTTTGAGAAACCGTGCGACAAAAATTTATTTACACACACGAATCCACACACACACACACACACACACACACACACACACACACACACACACGTGGCCGGACATCTGGGCGGGAATAGTCAGAATGGTTTCCTGGGACTTCAAAACGTGGAAATCCGATGAAAACTTACCTCGTGTCGGGTTTGCTGGGTCCCGTGTCAGGTGCCTCCCCAGGTGGCGGATAGGGGAATGCCCGACATATCTTTCGGGCAGATATGTCGGGTACCGAGGAAACAGGGTACTCGGGGTGGACCAAAACCTAGCAAACAACGATATGGAAATGTCAGGACAATTTCAAACATCGTTTACCGCATAGGGGAGGGATACCATAGTGCGGGCAAGGGAAGGCGTGCAAACGGGCCTGAACTCGTGGTCATCAAGCAATCGTTTGGACAGCAGGGTGGCCCCCATGGGCTTTGCTGTCTATTAATGCTACAGGGAGTAAGAAAACAGCCCAGATGGAAGTAGACGGACAGTCAACAAACGTTTCTTCAAAAAGTGGAGGACCTACTGCTTCCGTAACCACGTATACTTACCGAGGAAGGATCAACTCTTAACCAACCGTCGCCAGCCAATAATCGCCAATGGAGCGGCTCGGTAATAAAATCGAAGAGTTAGCCGACCTCATAAAAGACAAGAAGAATCTCCATCACGAGATCAGAAAATTGGTTACGTCCATTACTACGGCATATAGACTGGCCAAAAAATCACCAGACATGTCGGTGTCAGCGACCCAAACAACTCCGAGCCTGACCAAAAAACCACAGCCACTTTTGGTTACTCCAACCAAACCATCACGGCAAGAAAAGTACAACAGGAAGAGACATCTGTCCATGCCCAGTCCTTCTTTAGCAAACGACAAGCCAAAAAAGAAGAAGAAGGAAACAGAACAGGAGCAAGCGGCTCAATCTACTAAAGCCCAAAACCATCCAAGTAAGGGTGGCTCTAAGAAACCGAGGAGGAAGAAGACAGCAACAGAAGCATGGTCTGGTAGCCTCAAAGCTCGCAAGGTGTGTTTCCTCCTCACACTAGATATCAAAAATGCTTTTAACAGCGCAAATTGGGGAGATATTTTATATGGTAATCGATAACTATCTCGACGAAAGGACGTTGATCACAGAAACCACGAAAGGACTACTGGAACACGTGATAACAGCGGGCGTTCCGCAAGGTTCAATTATGGGATCTGACCTATGGAACGCAGACTACGACGAGCTCCTAGAAATCCTGTTGCCGAAACAAGTAGAGCTCACGGGCTTTGGTGGCGACATCGCGGCCACGATAGTAGTAGACAGCGCTGAGGAGGCAGAACTATTGGTTCGGGAAACTATTGATGCCGTCGAAACTTGGCTTGATAAACACCACCTGAAAGTCGCCAAGCACAAAACCGAGATGGTCGTTCTGACACGTCAAAAATGGTTCCCAAAACCATTCGCTGTGGACATGGGAGGAACAACACTGACGTCAACAAGGGCCCTGCGCTATCTAGGGGTAATGATAGACGAGAAACTATTTTTCCGCGAACACCTCGACAGTGCATGCAAGAAAGCCAGCAAGACGGTGTCTAGCCTAGGACGAATTATGACCAACACCATGGGACCAAGAACAAAAAAGAGAAGAGTTCTTCTGGAAGCAGTCCTTTCGACACTGTTTTATGAAGTATTAGAGATATGGGCAGACATATTAAAGCAGAAGACCTACTGGCGAAAGATAGCGGCAGTACAGCGGCGAGGCGCTCTCAGGGTTGCCTGCGCCTACCGCACGGTTTCCGAAGCGGCTGTATTGGTCATTGCGGGAGCCGCGCCCATCAACCTATTAGCGTTCGAGAGAGCAAAACTCTATGACGCTAAAACCAGTGGCGAAAACATGAAGGAGGCAAGAACGTAGTCTTGGGTAGTTCGCGAACGACCAGGTGGGAAGAGCGCTCCTTTAGATGAACTACGCGAACTAGTTCATCGATGATCTCGCTCGTAGTTCTTTGTACATGATTTTTAGCGTCCGCTTTACTGGACAGTAGCGCTATGTGACCAATCGAGTTATTTCATGCCTCATGCGTGAGCATGTGGAAGACCTTTACTTTCGACATGTCGCTAAGGGACGATTTTGCAATATAAAATCGTTCATATCTCCCAATTTAGACACTAAATCGACGAAAAAAAGTACTTTTTGAAAACTAGATATATTCAACTATAATAATACACGCACGTTCTTCGAGTGTGTACGGTGGAAGGACTACAGAAGCAGCACCGAAGAAACTATTGGCACCACGCTCTCCCCTGAGAGTTTGATAACCTGCATGCTCAAAAAAGAAGATAACTGGTCAGTTGTCGCAGCCTACGCGCAGTGCCTTTTAAAAGGAAAAACTGCAGAAAGGGACCAGTAACCAGGAGTAGGCATCGTTAGACGCAACACGGACTTCCTTGCCTATTTTTCCTAACCTCTATAAAACACCCACACACCCACACACCCACACACACACACACACACACATGCATGCATACAGACATAGTGACAAGATTGCAGGGGTAGTCAGGGAAGCTTTCTGTGACCTTAAAACGTTGAGATCTGATGAAAACTCCATTTTCATAGGGAGAAGATTAAAATAGATATGATCTTGACATAAATTTTAATTCAAAAGTAAATTTTGTTTTTGATTCGGGTTGATTCACTCGGGTGATAAGTGATTAATCATACATGAACAATATCAAATTGATATACCTAAAAAAATAAATATCAAGAGAATTAGCACTATAGGGTACAAGGATTTTAAAAATGACAGAAAAATAAGCGTATAGTGCATCTGTTATAAATATTATTTCTTCATCCTACAAGCTATTAGTAATTTAAAACTACACCTGCATGGAAATATATATATGCGAAAAATGTATGTGGCATCTATGTGACATGTATAGTATAATATGTTAGCAAAAAAATACATGCAGCATCTTTGTGGCATCTAAGTGACGTACCCATATAACATATAAGGAGACATAGAAGTTACAATATATTTTGTGCAAAAAAAATAAATGTCAACATATATGTTCGGATATATTTTAAGCATATATACTTTTCCATGTGGGCAATTATTGCTTGAGTTCAATCAGTCTTCAACTACGGTGAGTAAAAGTATTAACACCGAGTATGACGTCTTCATAGCCTGTAAAAAAAAACATATTTAATAAATGGCCCAAAATTATGAATTTTGTTTGATAAATTTTTATACCGAAACAAATGTTTGCAGCGATAAAGGAACCAGGCCCATAGCTCGTAGTTCTAGTGATCGCAGTGATAGAACCATAGATGTAGTTACGGAATTGCTCACACCTCGTTTGAATTCATTTTCCCAACCGCACATCCATTGATTGTAAGTGAGTGCATCTGCCTAATTAACCATTGAATTGCCGTTTTATTGTAGCAGAATTATTTTACTCAAGTTATTGTCATTATTGATGAAAATAAAACTTACTACGGTGCTCATACTGTTTCCATACCAGCACCAGAAAAATAGTTGCAGTAAAACTGTAAATATAGCCATAATTCGTCTTAAAAATAAATGAGTATCATCGTTAGCCTGTAGAATTTCAACAAAGATTTAGTTTAGTTGAGTTTAGTTTAATAACAATTATGCCAAAAGGCTAATGCCGAATGGCAAAGAGAAAATATACATAAGAATTTTTTACATTATTGTGCAGTTTAAACTACAAACATTTAGAATGTTTTACATAAGAATATTTTACGATAGATAATATTCAATTTATATAAAATTATGAGTGAGTATAAAAATTTAATTTATAATGAATTAACCATCAAATTTAAGAATCGTTGATGTAACTATAAAGACAGATAAGAAATATTGAATTAGTTTTATTTTCTTTCATTTTTATTATTATTAAAGTATGTTTTATTCTTTAACAAAATTTCTTACAGTTAATTTATTAGCAAATTTGATAAAAAAAGTTTGGAATAGTTTAAAAGTGGACGCCTCATAACGGTCATTTAATTTTTACTAAAAATGAATTTTATAATGCATGAGATATGAGGCGTGCAATTATCAAAAAAATTACAAGTTAAATATTATTACTTACTAACAAAATTTGAAATCCGTTCAGACATATTAATATAGTACTAGCCATAATTTGAATAACAACACAAAAACTGAAGCAGTCGTTAAGAATTGTCGTCATCTTTACTATTTTCTGATGATGCATGATGCATTGCTTCAATCTCCAATCGAAAGTATTTATTTTATTTACATCTTCATTGTTAAGTTTAAAAAATACAAAGTTTTCAATATCTTCTTTTTGATCATCATCGTCTTCATTATTTGCATGCGTTATTGCGTCATATTTTCCAATCACTTTTAGGTCAGACGATAAATTGTCATCGGTAGTTTCGATTGGTTTAACGTGGCAGTGTCTGTAATTAGCTAACAATATTTTCAAATGGAAGGTTAAGTACCTCATTATCACAACGATTACCATGTCGAATGCAAATAAAGAAAAGTCTATAAAAATAACACCGTAGGATACTGCAAGGTACAGTAATTGATAACGGGGAGATGTAGATGAGTCAAATGGAAAATAAGCACGAACAGGAAATTGTTTGGCTGTTCGGTCAGCGCCAAAAATACGAGCTATTACTAACAAAGTAACGAGACCAATCAGTATAGAAGCTTGTTTGATTTCAAATCGGGCTAAACTGTTAATTTGTGTCATCACTTCTAGATCTGTAAAAAATAAAATTATTCATGTTTAACTACATTTTACAAGCATTAATGTCACAATTATTTGAAAATGTCAAGTAAATATTTATAAATTAGTAACTTGCAGTCACTATGTGACTGCCGAATATTACGCATTATGAATAAATACTACTGAAAAGCATATAAAATGCCTTACATTTTTTATAATTTATATATTTTGACTTTAGTCGAAATAGCAACATAATTTAATGTGAGAACCAAGTATTGGAATAATTGAAATTTTGCACCCTGAGACTTACAGGCTATTCCAATCACAAATTGTAAATTATTTGAAAAACCTACAAATTTATTGAAAAATTTACAAAATATTCGATTTAAGTACGTGTTATTTGGACACGCATGATAGATAATAAAATAATATTCTGTCGAAAGAAACATCTAACAAACCATATTTTCGATTTAATGGAAATTATAGCTACATAAATTACTCATTATACTGTCGAGAAATTCGAAAGTCGTGGAAAAATCGTCAACTCATAAGTTTTACGGTTTAAGCTTATTGATAATTTGCATAAATAGATAACTAGACATCGTGATAAGTCGGAATCAAGTGTACTATAAAAAGATTTATAAATTATTGGATTTTGATAATCGTCATACTTACTATCCATAGTTTTGAGCATATCAAATGGTTCATAAATATCTTTGATCAATAGCATAATATTTTTGTATTCAGTAGTGAACTTGAATGCCTTCGATGCAACTTCAAAGCAGCCGATTAAAAAACATAAGTTATCTGTGATGAGCGATAAGTCATCAAAATTAGAAATTGCGTCACCGATTATAATCGACGTCAAAAACAAAAATATAGTTAAATTAAAAATACGTAATAGATAATTCAATATTTTAAAAATTGTTTTGGCTGATGAAATCATTGGCCAATATCCGCTGCATCTAAAAACAATTTATAATTAATTATTATATAGTAATTATCCCAGTTAGCAAATAAATATTGAAATATTTTCACAACTACAAAGGCAATTTCTCTCATTCAAAAATCTTTTTTTTTTTTAAGTTTTCATCTCAAGATCGTGAATAGTACAGTTATGAGCTTTTGATGTATATCATATTATTCTTATATTGTTTTATTTATTTTTACTATCAATCATCGTATTCATCTTTCTCCATAATTTTCATGTAACTTGTAGTCCCGTAAAGTATAGTTTAGATTAATATTTTTTTTCGCTGAATATTCCTTAGTGAAGAAAAACATGTAAATTTAGCAACATATCGTTTTCAGGTAAAGATTGAATAGATCATTGTAATGTATAATTTATTCTACACTGTGAAAAATTGGCCCGGAAAAAAAAATCTATGACCATTTAAAAAAGATACTACTTATGATCATGTGTGATGCTGATGACAAGAAAATTGGTCCTATAACATCTGATATGATCGCATAGAATCATGTATTGTCATATAATTTATATTTAAGTCATTGTTATTTAATTCCGAAGATATATTTTACAATGTGAACTTTTATGTGTAATTAAAATACGAAAAAAAAACAAGTAATGAAGATTGACATATAATTATACGACAAATTCCGACTGGTCGTCTATCTATGCATGAACCTTCTTAAATGCTTTCTATAAATTAAGAGATTCCTAATACGCCTTGAGTTTTCCGTTCTCTTTGCTGCTGATATTTTATATTTTTCGTGCTTATAAAGAATATGAGGTCAATTAAAAATTTTATAACTGACTTATATATTATTTATTTTTTATGAATAAATAATAATTTCGTTATAAGGAGTTAACGTGATATAATAATTTATCCAATAGGAATTGAATTAGAAAAATTAGTTATTTACACGCCAGCGAGAAAATTAGAATATCCCAATCCGCGTGTTTGTCACCCTCGCCTTCGGCTCGGGAGATAGTTTTAGACCGCGGTGGAATCGTCCTACTTTCCTTCCGAGATGCGTAAATTACTATTGCTCTAAAATCATGAAAATATAACGTTAAGAATTTTTTCATAATTTTCGAATTATCGAAGAAAAAAATTTATTAAAATGTTTGCAATCTCTAGGTAATCGCGAAATTGAAATAAGCTTGGAAAAAATAAAAGTCTTAGTGACAATTAAGTTGGAAAAATTCACTTTGAGCCTAATAATTGATTCTAAATGTTTTAAAAAATTTTCTCTAACAATTTTTTTTTCATTAAACAAAATGAAAATGTTTTATGGTTTAAGAGTTACTAAAGCTAATTTGGTCTTCAAGAGAATTTTCTGAAATTAAATTAAGTTTTTTTTCGGGCGTATACTTATTTTGAATCGTGTACGAAAAGTATTGTTTTTGAGATGAAAAGGAGTTCAGTTTGAATACATCGAATCGTTCTATATTGATAAATAAGTTAACTTGATTTAAGAGAAAAATTTTGTACCAAGAAAATGATTTGTAAGCAAATCATGATCTTGTTAAGTAAAAACTTATTCTTGAAGCAAAAAATTTTTTCTTGATTTAAGATTATCAATTTCTTGGAAAGTCTTTCTTAGTTAGAGATTTTTTTTGGATCAAGCTGACTTTATCAATGTAAATAATTCTTATATAAGTTTTTATTATATATTATAAAAGGTTATTAAAAAATTATTCCTTAGATGGAAAATGATAAGTACTTCAGTTCTCATTAAATTTTGGAGCAAGATGGAGTTAAAATTTATTTCTATAACTATGTAAATAACAAGTTTAAAAAAAAATCACTCCATAATGAGATGATATGAGGAGCTCAAATTTTCGGAGAATTCATTTTTTTTTTTTTTTTTTTATATAATAATCACTTCCACAGAATTTGAAAACAACCGGCAGAGGTCGCCCGGTAAAAATGATTTTATATTAAAGAATAACTTGTGTTCTAAATTATATTTACGATAAGAGGTAGTTCATACAAATACACATCACGTAGTTCACAAAACAATTAAGTGATGGAAACTTGATTTTCGAAAAGTGGACCGAATACAATGACTTCTCTATTTAATAAAATTTTTGTTTTTCTCAGCAAAAATAAAAAATTATTATATTGTTTTGAACAAATACTATTACAAAGACTATATGTCTTATATTTGATACTCTTTTACTTCTGAGTTTTCACCTTAGAGTCATGGATAGTACATTTATGAACTTCTGGTACATGTTGTTTATTTCAAATACAGTCGTATCATCTATTTTTACGATCAACCCCCGTATTTTTCTTTCTCTATAGGTTTCATATATATTCTATTTCCGAGAAGTTTATTCTAGATTAATATTTCTTTCCTCGGAGAGTTTTGTTCACGCGAAAAGAGACTATAATTTAGTGAATAATTTTCAGAAAAAGATTGAATGCAATTTCATAAGGCGTTTAATGTATAATTTTCTCTTTATTTATTATGCAAAATTCAATTTCAAACAACGGAAATAGATTTTTAAATTATAGTCTGTGAGTTTGAAGGCGACAAAGTAAAACTTTTGCTGAGAAAAGTAAATTTAAACATGACTTATACTATCATTATTTAGCGCCGAGGGGGCGGAAAAAAAATTAAAATCGAACACCTTTGTTACATATCAAAGGGTTTCGAACGATATTTTTAACGTTAATGTCTTATATAGTATCCGACAGTCATTTTGTCGACGTTTCCTCATCTTAAGACAACTCTATTGTCTATTTTTTGGAAATATTTACTGTTGTAAAATATTTTTCTGTACTTCCGCATTCAGTTGACTGATTTTTGATATCTAATAATCATCAAGCGACTAAAATAATAGCTTAATCTATTTTTTGTTCAATTATTGTGACGGTAAGTAAATAAAAACTAAAAAATGAAAAAAAAAAAAAGGTCAATTGGTTTCCAACTTTTGCCTTATTATATCAAGTGCTTTATTTGGGCTGTATCAATCTGATTTATTTTACTGAAGTGAAATTTATAATAAAATTAAAATTTTTTTTTCCAGTTCAAATTAAAAAAAATTTATAACCTGCAAGACAACCATTTTTGAACAATGTTTTAATTTCATGTTTACAATGCATAGAGGGAGGTCTCTCGAAAATATCAGCGTTTACGATTCATAAATAAATGAAAAGAAGATTCTTCGTAATTCCTCAGCGAGCATAAATTCGAAATCTTGATCAAGCGTAATACATTGTCTTTGTGATATACGATCAAATTCTTTATCACAAAACACAATTTTATTAACCTATTTTTTTTTTTGTTATTAAAGTAATCTATTTTTCAGTCGATAAATAATGACAATAGTTTAGTCCAATTATAGATTATTTATTTAAAATTTGAGATCAAGGTCTAATATCGTAGCCAACAACAGGACTATGTGTGCCATACATTTTTACATGAACGTCCTGTATAAAAGTTCTAAAAAACTATACAATATTTTAATACATCATCATAATTATAATTTAACATTAGTAGAACAAGAAAAAATAAGCTTTCTGGTTAATTTGTTTTAATTAAAATACTGAGGTAAGTTACTATACTTCCAAGTATCTGAAAATTATGAAATTATTAAGTTATTACTACGCTGAACAAAGGAAATTAATTTCATTCAAGATAAAACTCTTGAGCTAAAAAAAAATCTCTTTAAAAAATTTTATCATGAATCAAGTCGAAAAGTTCATTAACTAAGAAATTTTTTAGCTCAAATAAATTTTACATGATTAAATTAAGTTAATTTTTTATCAATGTTTCAAATATTTTTCAGTAATTGCACGATATAATTATAAATTTTTAATATATATTACATACCACTTGTAAAAGAGAATTGTCTATTGACATGATGCCATAAGTAGTAAATTTAACGTTTCGATGCAAAAGTTCTCTTGAAAATTCTACGAGCTACAATAAATGAAATCATATTTAAAATTTTATTAATACCATTTAAAATGATTGGCGACCATTAAATTTCCCAGCGAAATTTGTTTATACCAAAGAAAAATATTCAAACACGATAAAATCTCGCGCTGATTACACTGTAGAACACTCATGTATGTTAAGGGGGTTCTCTGGTCTGACGCCCTGATTTTTGAGCATTTTTTTGAGATTTTTTTGTAAAGACCAATGAAGAAATAGAACTTTGAACTTTTTATTTTTTTGAAAATTGAATTTTTGACAGACTTCGAAACAAAAAAGTCCGAATTTCATTTTTTTTTTTCAACTTTTTGATACAAAAAAAATAGAAATTTTCAAAATTTTTTTTTGATCGTAGTTCACTCCCCGTATTTAAATACAGAATAAAACCCCGCCGGGTTTTTTTTGTTTCAGATTAGCCAATCAGCTGATATCATGGAGGAAGTGAGCGTCAATTTTTTTCGAGGCGGGTGTCTTCAGACCACTATAACTTTAATTCTACTTAATTTTTTTTAGCTAAAAATTCAACTGTATACTCTTGGAATATGTATTAATACATAATGGTAAAAAGTTCAAAGTTCTATCTCTTCATTGGCCTTTACAAAAAAATGCTCAAAAATCAGGGCGTCAGACCAGAGGACCCCCTTAATCTGCGCGCACGAAAGAATCATTTTATCTTACTCATAGTGCAAAATTATACAGTATCTTTCTAATTTCGATATATTTTAATCCTTTTTATAAATATTTCGATTTTTTTAATTAAATTAAAGAGAAGCTATTACAGTATTTTGATTCAAGTATAAAACATGAAGGAATATATATTTTCAAATTTTGGTATAAACGAATCCGCTAATAGTATTTCATTATGTGTTATTACCGCTTCTTCAGTCTTTCTATCAACTGCATTTTGATCTAGTAGCAAGTGAAGATAGTATCCCATTTTCTCAAACTAAATAAACAAACAATTAATCAGAGTTTCATTCAATTCTGTTAACATATTTCAATATATGATTTCAATAATTACTTCTCTCTTTATTTTTGTTGCATACGTCGTCAGAAGTGCAAACGTAATTAGAATTTTCAAAGTGCCGAAACTATGGAGATAGCTCGCAACAGAAAAATTCATTTGATTGGTAAATGTTAATTGTGTTAACGGAAAATGCAGAAAAAATATAGCTGAAGCAACATAAATAATCGTCGCTAATAATGTTGGAATCGCGTAAAAATCTGCAAGCTCACTACAAACAGCACATAGTTTCATATTGACATGATTAGCGTTCACAATATCTGAAGTAATTGACTCATCGAGATGATGTTTTACTGTGAATAAAGTATTAACTCCAATTTCCGTATTTAAGTTCCCAAGTTTTGTAATCATTGTATTCATACTTTTGAATCGATGGTAAGTGGCATTCAAAACGAGTGCATATTGCATTAATACCATACTATTCACAGTGGTTGAAGCTACCCACAGTGGAGTTGTAATCGACGTGTTAATAAAAAATGAACAACACAAGTTCAAAATAATAATTATGAACTTGAATAATAACATAGAGTTCATACTATAATTGTTCATAACTTCGTAATGTTTTATTTTTTTCAGGACGTTGTCAATAATTGATATTTCATTGACGATATTAGCAATCGTCCTTTCGCGAGAAATATTCATCAGCCATATTATGATCACATTTATGCTTCCAAAAAACACTAAACATTTGTCAACAATGCTCGATACTATTAGTCCAGTATTAACCGTCCACAATTTCAATGTCCGTATGACTATTATGTATGTTATTGTCATAAATATTAATATAATATTGATAAAATATTTGTAATTGTAGGTAGCATTTGAATACACTGAATTGTTTATATTACTGTTAGGATCAAAAATTTTAACAATGTTCACTTTCCACGAAGCCAGTCCACATATTTTGAAAATAATTATATAACAGTTTAAAAGAAAGCGATTGAATCTTGCATCCATTTGATGTGATTTAAAAAAAATTTTTCTCTGGCAATTTACTGTTCCGTAATCTTTGTGTTGCTTAATTGATTCAACGGAACATTCGATCAGCAGTTTCCGAAACAGTTCAACTAAATTATGTTTATTATATCAGATACGATCAATATTATGGAGGAAAGCTATTTCTCATGTATGTATATTTTATTACATTCTACAAACATTCATTATCATGGTAGCTTAGAAAATTGCTTTTATTTCATACTATACGGACTGTTATTTTTATAGTTGTCAGAGGTGATTAATTAAATAACTCATCTATAAAAATACATTTAGGTAATTATTTTTTTATTAAGCAATTAATTTAATTAATTTTCTTTTTTTCCTAAAAACTAAGATTTTAAACAAACTATTTAATAATTTAGCGACAAAGTATAGAAGTACACGATTTTTTTTTAAATTACAAAGATTCAGAAACGTGATAATAGTGTCTTGTACCAATCATACGCACGGTAAAAAATACTTTGCAGATATCGCTAGTAATGCAATCCTATTATAATTGCTTAATCAATTATCGACTACAGTGAGTAAAAAATTATCGGTATTTTATGGAAAATTAATGTAAGTGTGAATATGGTTGAGGTATTCCTGATTAAACAAAATGATTTAATATGATGAAAAAGGCCATTCGGCAGCCGAAATGGAAGTAGATTTCCTAATAAGTAGAAAAAAAACTACTAGGACTGAATACGAAAAAAAAAAAAAAAAAAAAAAACCAGTGCAACAGCAAATTTCATAATTGGCATAGCGGAATACGACATAATTTTGAGACTACACATGTGATATGGTACAGAAATTGAAGCTTATTTAAAGAGCTTTCAGATGCTATTTACAGAGATTCAATAAGTTATCTCATTCGAAAGTTATTCGAGTAAGAAAGTGAAGAAATATGAATTTTTATGATTTTGAAATCCTGGCATTTCTAAATTACTTGATCGATTAAGCTCATCTTTGGATTTGACTTCGGTATTTATCTGAAGAATAAGTATATTGCGTTTGGTAAAGATCCGTTGTAAATTGGCGACGCTATCGTCGTGACAAGCCGCGTTATATCTGATATATATATATATATATATATATATATATATATATATATATATATATA